ACTAGAACTGAACTAGAACTGAACTAGAACTGAACTAGAACTGAACTAGAACTGAACTAGAACTGAACTAGAACTGAACTAGAACTGAACTAGAACTGAACTAGAACTGAACTAGAACTGACTAGAACTGAACTAGAACTGAACTAGAACTGAACTAGAACTGAACTAGAACTGAACTAGAACTGAACTAGAACTGAACTAGAACTGAACTAGAACTGAACTAGAACTGAACTAGAACTGAACTAGAACTGAACTAGAACTGAACTAGAACTGAACTAGAACTGAACTAGAACTGAACTAGAACTGAACTAGAACTGAACTAGAACTGAACTAGAACTGAACTAGAACTGAACTAGAACTGAACTAGAACTGAACTAGAACTGAACTAGAACTGAACTAGAACTGAACTAGAACTGAACTAGAACTGAACTAGAACTGAACTAGAACTGAACTAGAACTGAACTAGAACTGAACTAGAACTGAACTAGAACTGAACTAGAACTGAACTAGAACTGAACTAGAACTGAACTAGAACTGAACTAGAACTGAACTAGAACTGAACTAGAACTGAACTAGAACTGAACTAGAACTGAACTGGAACTGAACTAGAACTGAACTAGAACTGAACTAGAACTGAACCAGAACTGAACTAAAGTGGTATTTTTATAGTTAAATTTTGTAACTATTTATGGAAAGTTTTCGTAAAAAAATTTTTAAGAAAAATTTTTATAAACTTTTTTTAATTTCTCCTCCTTTTCCGAAGTGTTCCTTTTAAATAATTTGTTTTTTAAGAAAATTTGAGATATTGTTTTGAGAATTGTTTCCTTTGTCTTTTGACATTTTTGAAAATTATATCTTTCTAAAGAAATTTTTCAATATTACTTAACATTTTTGAAAAATAGATAGTAGTTATTTGTTGAGCAAATTGCTAATTGCCGTTAATGTTTTCCAAATTAACGCAAATTGCGAAATATGTTATTTGTAATTGAAACAAAAAGAAAACCACCCTCAACTACAATAGCATAACATTGTCCCCGATTTAATTAAATATTAAAATAATTCTGCGTATATGCTACACAGCATGTGATATTCCAACAATACCCATCTAACAATACAATAAAGTGTACACAATATTAAAATGGAAACAACAACGACAACAATGTTGACAACAATAACAACAACTGAAATGTCTACATATGGAGGCAACGAAAAAGTCATTGACTCTTTAGGTTATGGCAATAAAGCTTTCGTATCCTTTTATATCATCATGCCACATCGAAAACGGGGGTCATTGTTGAAGGGTCACAATAACCTTTCCATACTTTTATCATTTATACAAATAAGTGTATCTAAGTGTGTAGAGCAGTGATGGGCAACACACCTACTGTCATTTTAGACTTGTGGCCAAAGCTGCAATACCTAAAGTGTGTCTACTTTTCATAATATTTTTTTATTTCTAAATTGCCCATGGCTGTATTAGATACAATTATTTGCCTACGAGACTAAGTGTGTGTGTGTGAGTGTTGGTATGTCACAAAATAATAATATTGCGGTATTTGTTCAAGTGTTTGTGGAATGTTACATTAAACCTTTAAAATTTTTTTTAGATTTAAAAACATTTTCACCAGCAATGTGTTTTTACTAAAAGCCCATTTCTCTTAACTAGTTGTATACGCACATTCATTATATTCCCTGTTACCACTACCACTCGAAACCAAAAAGAAAGGATGCCAATGTCCATGTTGTTGGCAGGAATAGTGGTGTTTCTGTTTGTGTGTGCGTATTTATGTCGGTATGAGTGTGTGTTACATGTACAGGTCTTTTCAAATTGTGTGTATATTGTATAAGCAAATTATCATAAGGGAAAACATTGGAAATTTTGACTGCATAATATTTTGTAACAGTTTTACATTTTTTCCCACAACGATAATACTGCTGCTGCTGGTGCAAAAGCATTCACATAAATAGCTACAGTGATGGAAATTTTCAGAATTATACCTAGAGACCATGCATTTTGATAACTAACACAGTAAGAACACTAATGTCCAGAGAAACCGAAAACCTTGCAAACTGAAAATTTATTTCCCTTTTCCTAAAAAAGTTTTAGCTTATAGAAAATTTTAGGCATTTTTCTTTCCCACTGTAATGCAAAGTAGGCATGCACGTACATACGTACATATATATGTATGTTACTAGGCTAAACCATAACTTTTGCAATACGGTTAGTAGTTTGGCCAACAAAAAAAAGTTTAGTTCTTTTTTTTTTAATCAAAACTTAGAACGAATGTAGTTTATTAACAACACCAGGAGAATATAAACACAAAACTACACTGATTCAGTTCATGGAATAACGTAAAATAAACTAATTAAATTTTTCCTAACGGGTGATTAATGAAATACTAAAGCTTATTTAATGCCCTACCAACTAGAGCGAATTTGTTAACAAAGTGGTACAGTACGGGTCAACATGATTTTTATGGCGAAAGGTTGGATAATAATGATTTTGGGGTGAATTCATGCAAATTATAGAACAAACAATAACAGAATAAATGGTAAGTGTTCAGTAGAGAAGTTGTAAAAAGGAATAAAAAAAACTAATTAAGAAAAATTTTATAATTTTCCGAAAAGTAAATTTTTATATAAAATGTAACTTTTTTATACCCTACACCACCATAGTGGGGAGGGTACTATGCGTTTGGTGCTGATGTTTTTAACATCCAAAAATATTGATCCTTCACCCAGCTTAAAGTATTCCAATCGGTTCAGAATCAGTTTCTGAGTCGAATAAGCAATGTCCGTCTGTGCGGCCATACAAACATTTTTGGCCGCACGCTACAGGTCCGCAATTTGGAATGGGTAAATTAATAAAATTTGGGCACGTACGCTTCTTTGGGTCCAAGGACGAAGGGCTGACGGGGAGAGGGGGAACGAACGAAACGAACGAACAGAACGAAACGAACGAACGAACGAACGAACGAACGAACGAAAGAACGAACGAACGAACGAACGAACGAACGGAACGAACGAACGAAACGAACTGAACGAACGAACGAAACATACAACGAACGAAACGAACGAAGAAACGAACGAACGAACGAACGAACGAACGAACGAAGCGAACGAACACGAACAAACGAACGAACGAACGAACGAAACGACGAACGAAAGAACGAACGACGAACGAACGAACGAACTAACTAACTAACTACTAACTAACTAACTACTAACTAACTAACTAACTAACTAACTAACTACTAACTAACTAACTAACTAACTAACTAACTAACTAACTAACTAACTACTAACTACTAACTAACTACTAACTAACTAACTAACTAAACTACTAACTAACTACTAACTAACTAACTAACTAACTAACTAACTAACTACTAACTAACTAACTACTACTAACTAACTAACTACTAACTAACTAACTAACTAACTAACTAACTAACTAACTAACTAACTAACTAACTAACTAACTACTAACTAACTAACTAACTAACTAACTAAACTACTACTAACTACTACTAACTAACTAACTAACTAACTAACTACTAACTAACTAACTAACTAACTACTAACTAACTAACTAACTACTAACTAACTAACTAACTAACTAACTAACTAATACTACTAACTACTAACTAACTAACTAACTACTACTAACTAACTAACTAACTAACTAACTAACTAACTAACTAACTAACTAACTACTACTAACTAACTAACTAACTAACTAACTAACTAACTAACTAACTACTAACTAACTACTAACTAACTAACTAACTAACTAACTAACTACTAACTAACTAACTAACTAACTAACTAACTAACTAACTAACTACTAACTAACTAACTACTAACTAACTAACTAACTAACTACTAACTAACTAACTACTAACTAACTAACTAACTAACTAACTAACTAACTAACTAACTAACTACTAACTAACTACTAACTACTAACTAACTAACTAACTAACTAACTAACTAACTAACTAACACTAACTAACTAACTAACTAACTAACTAACTCTAACTAACTAACTAACTAACTACTAACTAACTAACTACTACTACTAACTAACTAACACTAACTAACTAACTACTAACTAACTACTAACTAACTAACTAACTAACTAACTAACTAACTAACTAACTACTAACTAACTAACTAACTAACTACCTAACTAACTAACTAACTAACTAACTAACTAACTAACTAACTAACTACTAACTAACTAACTAACTAACTAACTAACTAACTAACTACTACTACTACTATAATGACGGACTATCACTTTACAACAATTGTATAATTACATCATGGACTCAGACTCGAAACGATTGATGTGCTTTAAGAGATATTGCGGGTACATATTTCTATGCATTAAAATATTTCAAAATTTTGCTCCTGTAGATGAGTTTTATTTTATAAACTTTATTAATTTCAAAATTTTTTGTGCATCTAAATACTTTTAAACACATTTGTATTAGAAAACTTAAAATCTGTACTAAGTTATTTACGAACATCTCCAACAAATTATTTTCTCTAAATCCCCAACTAACAACAATATCAAATCATTTAACTTCTAATGTCAAAATGAGACTAAAAACAATATGAATGAAATACCAAATGTATACCGGTAGAATGTGAAAACAAAAAACACAAGTTAAAACAAAGCGCCAAACCTACAAACGAAAGCATAAAAGGAAATCAGAGATAAAAGTTAAAAACAAAAAAGTCTTCGAATCAAGACACAAAACAAAAACCGATTGATAATGTCCTTAACCACAGACAATAAACCAAGTAGAAGTAGAGGTTTTAATATATGATTCTGCGCACAAAAGTAACATTTGCAAATATGGCGCCCAACTAGGGAAACACTAAAGACACGACAATAATACACCACAGCAAAGAGGAAATGCAATTCAGTGGAGCATAGCAAACAGCTCTAAAGCGCCAGCAATTGCTAAAGATATCAGTAGCAGTTGGAACTTTGAAGGAATCGTACGGTTTAACGGATAAACATGGAAGTATTTGGCTGATTCTAGGAGTGATAAGTGAAAGAGAGCAAGAAGTGTGTTAAAACTAAAAAGTGCATTGTTTAAATAAAACTCTCATACTCAACAAACACTCATTTAGGCAATAACAAAAAGTGAGCAAGAGACGAAAAGAGAATAAGTTTAATAAAGGCTTTTTTGTTGTTGATTTTAGTAATTGAAATAAAAAAAAAAAAACAAAAGCAATGAGCTGAGAGTGTTTTAAAGAGCCTAAAACTAAAACAACAACGGGCCTATACAATCTCAAAAGAGCCACACACAAAAGGCGGGAGAGAGAGAATACAACGAAAATGTTATTTTGTAAATGTCAAGTGTAATGTCATCAACATCTCAAGTTTTCATTGTTTGTAGATACTTAGACATCGCCAATAACTATATAGATATAGTGCTTCCAACTGTAATACAAACGCGTTCGAATAAATTTATCATCAATAAAATTAAAACTCTCTTACATTTACAACTACAATCAACTATTGAGAAATCCTTTCGCTTACAAAAAAAAAAAAAGGATTAATATGTGAAAAATAATCAAAATTTGTGTAAAATAAATCAAAATTATTAAGCAATATTGATAAGAAAACAAATTTAAAAAAAAAAAAACTTCCTTTTAATCAAATCACAAATAGTGCCAAAATGAAAATGTGTCAAAAATTTTAAAGAAAATTTAAACAAAATTTTCGTTTGAGATAGAATTAAATAAAAATTCTGCCATGTATGCATTTGGCTTGCGGATTACTGCAATATTTTCATATACATACACACAATTTTAAAATTAAAGTTAAAAACTAGTGCAGTGTTATTTAAAAAAAAAAAACCTAAAAATTATTAAAAATCTTAAAATAACTAACAAGTTTCTAAAAAAAAATACCATAAATTGGAATTGAAAACCAGCTAAATTTCCCAAATCTAAAACATAAATAAATAAAAAAAAACACCAAGGAAAAGCAAGAAAATCAAAACAAACATCATGTGGATTAGTTGCCATGCTGTTATAATTTTGCTCCTTTTGCATTCCGGTATGTTTTCTTCATCTTCAGCTTCGTTTATTTGTTTTTTTTTTCTATTTTTATTCTTTTTCAATTTTTATTTGTTTTTGTGTGTTTTTAAATGTATTTGTATTATTCACGTGCTTCAAAACGTCTTCTATGTATTTGTGCTGGAGAGAGCAACATTGCAAATATTCTTAGACAGTTTTTTTTTTTACCCAAAAAAGTATTTGTTTTCGTCTTTTTTTTTTTTTTTGCATACTAATCCCCTTTTTCGGCGTTTTCAATTACTTCTGAGAAAATGTTTTGTAAACAAACTTATTTAAGGATAATAAGGATATAAAAACAAAGTTTGTTATTTGTTTAAAGATTTGGGTTTTAGAAAAATTACATTTTATTGATTTTTGTTTGAGTTGTTATAGAAAATACGAAGTTGTATAAAGAGAATATTGGTTGATGTTGTTGTAATATTATATTTTATACAATTAAAAAGTGCGCTTAATCAAGATGAATTGATACTATCCAGTGCTAATAAAATAAACCTTTTTGTTTTAAAACGACAAAATATTAGAAGTTAATGACCTAAAAGTTCTGATTAATTGCTGGAAATGGCCTACATATTATAAGGCTTTCAACATTTTTTTCTAAAAATTTCTAATGATTTTTGGAAACGAAAAAAGAAAAAGAGCAAAAGTATTGCATTCGGCTTTGTCTAATTATAGGATTAATTACATATTAATCGGTCATCCCGAAATCTATTCGAGATATGGAATCTTCTATCTATATATATAAAAATTAATGTGTGTTTGTTTGTATGTTTATATGTTTGAACGTTATGGACTACTAGACGACAGGACCGATTTTCTTGAAATTTTCACAGCGTATTTCTGTATGTCTGGAATATTTTGAAATTTCAAGTGGGCGAGGAGCCATGCCCATATTAAGAAAATATAAAATCCTGATATTTGAAATAATAAAACAGCTAGAGTTCTCAAATTTTGTCAAAACCACTTTAGTGTCAATATGATTATTTAGGGCAAAAAGTAGGCGGACTAGCATAGGGGGCGTGGCACCTCCCATATAAATTAAATACATATGGGCCTTGAAGCGCCCATATGAATTGAATAGAAAAATTCGTATATCTAAGAAACTATTTGAGCTAGAATCTTCAAATTTTACTTAAAGAACTTTGACATTCATCTGAACATTTAGAGTATAACGGGCGGACTTTCAATGGGAGAGTTGGCACCTCCCATATGAATTATTAACAAAAATTCTTTTATCCGGGAAATTAATAGAACGAGATTCTTAAATTTTTTCACGAAGAACTTTTATATTCATCTAAACATTTTGGAGAATAAAGGACGGACATTAATCAAGGGGATTATGAATTAAATACAACATTTCGTATATATGGAAACTATTAGATGATTCAAATTTTTCATGGGTTACATTTAAATATTAATTAACGTTTAGAAAATTAGCGAACTTGCAATATTTTAAATGACATCCCATTATATATATATCTATATAAAAAAACTATTATAGTTATAATCTTCAAAATCGTTAAGTGGGGTTTTTTATTTATATTGTTTTTAGGGTAGCAAAGCACACTGGGTATAGCTAGTACCTTATAAAACTAAATTAATTTTTATAACTTATGACGCACTTCGATGTAAAACTTATCTTAAGTGGCGTTTAATTGAAAATGAAATCTAAATTTAAAAAAAAAAGTTGTGAGAGGAAGGTTTAATTTTGGATCGATCGTAATAAAATTTTGTAAAGCGATTTCCATTCATACAAAACTTGTTTATGTCAAAATTTGTCGCTAAACTGTATTTTTAAACCGGTAATTAGCGTTAAAGTAATTTTCTGAAGGGACCTTATATGGGGGTAGCGTAAGTTACCGATCCATTCCGCATGAATTTAGACAAGAGGATTTACGTTCCTATAAATGTTGCTTACTTCAAATTTCATAACTGTAATCATATCTTTAAAGTAGTAATGTGCGTTTAAAGTTATTTTCTGAAGGGGACCTTAAGTGGGGTGTAGGGTCAATTATGGACCCATTCTCATATAATTCGGTAAAGAGATTTTCACTCGTAATAAACTTATTTAGGGCGAATTTCATAGCTATACTCGTATTAATAAGCCAGTAATGAACATTAAAGTTATTTTCTGAAGGAGACCTTAAGTGGGGGTGGGTCAATTATGGACCGATTCTCATAAAATTCGGTAGATATATTCTTGCTTGTAATTTGATCAAATTTCATCGCTATACTCGTATTTTTAAGCCAATAATGAGTGTTAAGGTAATTTTCTGAAAGGGCCCTTATATGGGGGTAGGGTCAATGTGATCCGATCCTCATAAAATTTGGTAGAGAGATTTTTGCTTGCATGATAACTTATTTATGTTGAATTTCATCGCTATAGCCATATTTTTAAAATAGTTATGACTGTTAAAGCTGTATTTCGGGGGACCACTTGTATGGGGGCAATGCGAAATCATGGACCGCTATTGCTCATTTGCAATATTAAACAAATCTTACTTATAAGGAATATTTGTGGAAAGTTTTAGCTCTCTAGCTATTTCCGTTCGATCCTTACCGTGCATTCAACAGACAGACAGACGGACGGACATATCGTCTTAGAATTTAATAAGGATCCGGAATATATATACTTTTGTGGGTCTACGACCAATATTTCGATGTGTTACAAATCTTTTTGGTAGGTATAAAAAAATTAAAATATATGTATGTGATAAGTAGCAGAGAGACGGACGGACATTTTCATAGCTTTTGTTTAATTTATAAATTTGACTTTTTAGCACAAAAATAAATTAAAAAATACGCAAATACCCTGAATTAAGATCCATTTTCGACTAATGTGCTACGCGTAAAATACTTGTATTAAATTAATTAATGAATATGAATAAATGAGTAATGTTTGTTCGTAATCGATAAACTCAGGAACTACTGCATCAGATAGAACAAAATTTCAAATATATGTTTCAGGAATTGTATGAGTAAAGTTTTAAATTTCTCCGAAAGGTGGCGTGGAAGTATTAATTTTCAGTCAATTACACTTAAATTGCAAAAATTATAGGGGTATATAGATCTTTACGTGTAGAGTCCACATGTCCAATCGAAGGCCTGTAACGCGGACCGGTCACCACTAGTATAATATAAAAACTTTTCAAAAGTTTAAATAACGAAATTGTAGAAATGAATCCAAAAGTTGTAAGATAAACATTACTTATTTATTAAGTAGGACATGTCAAGGAAAAGTTTTTCAAGGTACATTGGATTGAGCCGTTCGCCGTTTTTATTGTTTTTGAATAAGGAACATACGAAACACTTTTAAAGACTATTATCGAATTTTGAATAAGACTTGATTCTACTAATTTCAATGTCAATCACTTTTTCTGGTGGATGGAATGTTATTGAACGAATATTTTAATGAGATAATATCGAATTAAAAAACTATAATTTCTTGCAAAATATCTAATTACATGAAATAAGGAAAAATAATTTGTTATCGAGGGACTAAATATATTTATAGATGGGATTCTCTACCCAGTAGTTGGGAAAATTGTGGATAAATACCTTTTTGGGGTATTTATAAAGACCCAAAACTTGGACTAATATAACACTCATATGCTTGGGAATATTTCTTATGAAAATTAACAAAATCTATCTATATAATGTGTTATTTTAGATACTAAGTTTTGTATTTATGTAATATGTATATCAAATAAATGGGTTTTCAAAGGTCTTTCAAATGAAAAATTTTCCAAGCGAAACAAATTATATTCAAAAACAAGTTAGAGTGCTATATTCGGCTGAGCCGGATCTTAAACACCCTCCACCTAGTATGAGAGATATGACAAATTATAGGCCGATCGTAAAAAATTCTTTAGGCTAAATTTCTGTACACAAAAGCTATATTTCAGTCAAATTTTGTATCTATGTGGTTATAAGTAGTGTGTGTTTAAGTGATTTTCTGAAGCGAACCTTGTACGGGACCGACCGAACTATTGTATACAAAACTAATATTTGTGCCAATTTTTTATGGGTATCACTATTTGGTAATGAGTTATGTGCCTTTAAGTGTTTTTCTGAAAGGAAATTTGTACGGGCGCTATGATCAATTATAGACCGATCGGAAACAAAATTTCACAGCAATATTTCTGTATATGTGAGCAATACTTGTACCAAATTTTATATGGATATCTTAATTTAGTAATGAGTTATGTTCGTTTAAGTGCTTTTCGGGAGGGGTCCTTGTATGGGAGCTATGACTAGTTATTTCTGTGCAATACTTGTACCAAATTTTATATGGATATCTTAATTTAGTAATGAGTTATAGGCGTTTAAGTGATTTTCGTGAGAGGACCTACTATTGGAGCTATGACCAATTATCGATCGGAAAAACATTTCACAGTAATATTTCTGTATATGAGAGCAATACTTGTACCAAATTTTATATGGATATCATAATTTAATAATGAATTATGTGCGTTTAAGTGATTTTCGGGAAGGGACCTTGTATGGTAGCTATGTTCAATTATGTACCGATGCAGAAAATTTTTTCTGTAAATGAATTCCATTTGTAAAATTTTTTGAAGATAACAACATTCTGACGGAAGTTATTAACAAAAAACTAATTTTCCAGGAATATGTACTTTTATATGGGAGGTATATGAAATTGTGGACCTATTCATACGAATGTATGATGATTTTCATGGAATTATTTTTCATAGTATTCGAGAAAATTACATCAGAATGTGTAAAAAATGCTTATTTTTTTCGAGTTGTTTTAAATTTTGATTCATAACTATTCTCGATGTGAACCGATTTTGCTCATTTTCAATACCAAACTGCCTAGGACAATAGTGAATCTTTTGGCCAAATTTTATTAATTTATTTATTATCGCTTTTACGTGAGCGTGTTTTACACAGACAGACAGACGGACGGACAGACGGACATAGCTAAATCGACTCAGAATTTGATAATTTTTGCAAAATTCC